ACTTTCAGATGTATTTAGGAAACCTTTTAAGATTAATTAAAGATATTTTGAATGTGAATTGGCCTTATGCACAGCTGCACTACTTCCTGAACTTAAGCCAGCTCCTTGTTTCCTGTCTGCTATTATTGGCCATACTTGATTAATTCAAGTGTGTCTGATTATTGTTGCCGTGCCTACTGAGGTCAGGCACACCTGAATTAATCAATTTGACCAATAATGGCAGATAGGAAACAATGAGCTGGCTTAAGTTCAGGAAGTAGTGCAGCTGTGCATAAGGCCAATTATGACTTTTCAAACACCAGTTGGAGAATCTTCAATTATAATTGTTACTAGTGGTAATTCAATTAGAGATATCTCTAATATAATTATTATTAGTAAAATTTGTTAAAATGATGCCTAGTACAAAATCAATTATGTTTTTAATACCGTAACTTCATTATCTTTAATAGTAACAATTAGTCAAAACTAGATACCCAAAATATTTTCCAACAGAAGTCCAGAGAAAAAAATGACTAATCAAAAAAGCATTAGAGATATCTTGAATGCATATTATGACTGCAGAGTGCAGACCTATTTTATTTTTGTAAACAGCAATGGCGTGTTTTGTGCATGGACGGAGCCGAACTGCTGGCAGAAAGTGACAGTTCTGTAGTTGTGGTGTCAAATATCAGCTCTAAAATCAGATTCAAAACAGGGATATAGATTATCCAGACGCCTTCTGAAATGAATTTAATGGTTTGCCAGCTAAAGAGTTAGTAAACGCCATACTAATAAAGCATTGTACAGAAAAGCAGATTAGTCAGAATATAACAAGCTACAATTAGTCCAAAATTCATCTGCTAGTTCTTACCAGATCAAGAAAATATGATCACATGACACCAATTTTATTATCTCTAAACTGGTTACCTATTAAGTTCTGTATCAATTACAAAGTATTGCTAATGAACTATAAGGCCCAAAATGGTTTAGCTCCTTTGTATTTGACTGATCTTGTATCACCCTACAATACCTGTGCCAACTCCTGCAAAGACTTCAGATTAGATACTCAATACCTGTGAAGATACAGTGCCTACTCCTGTGAAAGACTTTTCAGATGCCGAATACCGGTAAAGAGACAGTGCCAACTCATGCGAAGACTTGAGATGCCCAATTCATATACTTTGCAGTCACGTGACTACCATGCCTGGTGGGCAACAACGGGTATTTTCAACATAGAGTCCTGTAGTTCCAGGTCTTTCTAGTAGCTATCAAGTCTGTTAGCGAGCTAGCTGCATAACTATGGACTAGGATTAAAAGGTGTATGTAGTTGTGTAAAGCAGACAAGGTTGTTTTATTTTTGATAATCGAGCAGTAATAATTCCTCCGTAAATAATCTAGCTCTACTGTTCTTGAAAAACTGATAGATAGATGATATCACAAATAGATATCATACATATAGATAGATATCACAAACCTCAAAACAACCCATCACACACTTTTGTTGTAGTTAGCAAAATACGACCGCTGTGTTTACACCACCGGCAAGAGTGTCAAAGTGCACAGAAGCCATTCATTTTTCAATGAATTTTGCTGCTCTTGTGGCGGCGGTGTGAACATATAGTTAGCCTCATAACGCAAACAGCTGACTTGCCTAACCAGTTGGTGGTGTTGATTGAAGAAACTACAGGTTAACTTAAAAACACAATTAATTACATGATCATACACCCATTGTATTCAAACAAATGTTGAAATTACCTTGAGTGATGGAATGATCACTGCACAGACGTGTAACGTTATACTGTGAAGGTTGCTTATCTCATCTGGTTAGTGCAACCAATCGCACAACAACTATCTGGCGTGTCATTTACACCTCGAAACACCAACTTTTGTATAAAAACTGGCAACGTCCTGGCAAGATCCTTGACTAGTTTACTGGGTTTCGTTGCTGGAGAACGGCGTTCATGCCCGCCAGCCAGTACTTGTGACGTCACATGCAAAGTATGAATACCTGTGAAGAGACAGTGCCAACTCCTGTGAAGACTTCAGATGCCCAGTACCTGTGAAGAGACAGTGCCAATTCCTGCAAAGACTTCAGATACCCAATACCTGTGAAGAGACAGTGCCAACTCCTGCAAAGACTTCAGATACCCAATACCCGTGAAGAGGCAGTGCCAACTCCTGTGAAGACTTCCGATAACCCAATACCTGTGAAGAGACGGTGCCAACTCCTGCAAAGACTTTAGATGCTTAATACCTGTAAAGAGGACACTGCCAACTCCTGTGAAGACTTCAGATGATGCAGACTCTGAATCAACAAGTACCAATGCTACAATTGTCTATATGTCATAATCATTTGTTAACAAACAAGTATTCATTCACCAATGAGCTCATTGTGTCTGCCTTAAATTATTAGTTTAAATTAATTCATTTTCAGCTAATTGTGATTTGTATATGTACATTTCTCAAATGCATAACTTGACACAGTCTTCTCTGATAACAGATCACTCTAAATTGTAATAGACATGCATTTTCTGTAAAGCTGCTTTGAAATGATGTGTATTGTAAAAAGCACTATACAAATAAATGTGAATTGAATATGAACGCATTAAGCGTTTTCCTCCTATAGCAAACCAAAAAAAAAAAAAAAAAAAAAAAACGCTTAATGAGGCTTAATGGACCAACTGTTATTTAAAAAAAGAGACAAAATTCACTACACATTATTAATAAAACACGGGCAGGTTAAGTGATTAGTAAAAAACAAATGTTTACTCAGACTTAGATTGTCATAAACATATAGGAGAACTATTCCAACAAGGTCTCTCACCCTTAACACAAATTTGCTTTCTTTTGCAGAAACAGTTATCCATGCTTTTATAACCTCCAGATTGGACTACTGTAACTCCTTATATAGCAGCCCACCAAAGCTACATCGCCTTCAAATGGTACAAAACTCTGCTGCACATGCCCTTACATTTAACAAAAATTCTGCACATATCACTCCAATCCTTTACCAACTTTACTGGCCTCCAGTGGTCAACTGCAGTTTAAACTGTAAGTCTTAGTTTATGAGGCCTGTCATGGCCCCAAACCTAAATACCTCGCTGAGTTAGTGCAACCAAATGTTCCTGCTCGGACCCCTAGATCTAGCAATGACAATCTGCTTGTCGTACCAAGGTATAAACTCTCTACTGTGGATAGTAGGGCTCAAAAGCTTTGGAATAAGCTGCCCTCTGATCTTTGTCACATCCCTAACCTACAGACCTTCAAATCTCAACTTAAAACTCATACCTTGCTCAATAAATAATTATCTCCCATTCTATTTCTTTGTCCTTCACTCTTGCATTTTTTATGTTACATGCTTTCATTATCAAAAATGATGTTTTCTTTGATTATATAACTTCTTCTCATGTTAATTATTTGTATTATTGGGTGTCTCCATCTGTTTTTCTGCTTGTTTAATTGTTATAATAAGCAGATTGCTTGTCTCTTTGTCTGTCAACTGTTTGTATTATTTTGTGAAATTCTTGAAAGGCGTTATGAAAAATTAACATATTATTATTATTTTGTCATATTCTGGGCTCATTAAGCGTTTTCTTTTTAACAGTTTCTATGGGAGGAAAATGCTTAACCTGTAATTAAGCGAATTGCGTTTATATTTTGAGTTTATACTATACTGTGCATAGTATGTGTCACAGTCTCGTCTGCACCGTTCTGTCTGCGTCTCCTGCATTACACTCCCCATGATCCTCTTGTCTACACACCTGTACTCACTCCCTCATCAGCCTCCCGTTCAGTCTTGCTTCATCATTTTCACCTGTTTGCACCTCATTATGTTTGATTCCTCCCTGTATTTAGTTCCCTCTGTTTCATTCAGTTATTGTCGGTCAAACAATTTCTGATGTTACCCTGTGTTGCTCCTGTCTGTATCCTTGCCTGTTATTTTGTAAGTAAAGTTATCTTCGTGTGAATTCTGGACTCTGTCTTCTCTTCTGCCTACAATGCGTCGTGACAGAATGCTTTATTAGGTGGTGTTTACTGATTTTGTTCTTTTAATACCACTGTATTCTTTGCCATGTTACACATTTTAGAATGATCCCTTTGCTGTCATGGCCAGGACATTTGTCGAATGATTTTTTGTGTATGGACTGACGTGCTGCATAGCCAGCTGGACATTACACAAATATGCAAGATGTGGGATATTGTAAACAAGTCAAACAAATATATACTGATGGCTGACTTAGAATTAACTCATTTTCATTGTTTAATGTGACCAATGACAATGTAAAACACTAGACCTACTGCTGCTATACCTAGATGTATGTAAATGTTTTCTAGTTATAGGCCTGGGGTAAATATTTCATGCTGTAGGTTTACTGGGCCTAAAGGTATGCATTGCATATGTGAATACGCTGTTTATCTGCCACCACATTGCGCACACAACTGCAGTGACATAACTGTGTCGTCGACTCCAAATTGGTGTGCCTTAATAAGTTGACACCATTGTATGAGAACTGAACTGAGATGGACGATGACATCACTGTTTTCTCCAGAGCTGCTGTGGGCTATAGATAAATTAATGTCTAATGATTTTTACAACCAAAATGAATCAACACTGAACTTAGCTACTTAACAGTGATTTTCTGCTAGGCACCTCTAGACAGAACGCGTTGTCTTATACACTTTCCTAGATCTGCTGTACAGCCGAAACAATCTTTATTGCATTATTTTCCTTTGATCACTTTTAAGCTGCTTTGAAACAATCTGTTTGACAAAAAGCACTATATGCCTATAGAGTTGACTTGGCAATAATCACTTTGTACCTTAAATCCAATTACTTATTATTTAAAATACAGAATAGATATCTGGAACTGGAATTGTGACTTGTGAAACTAAATTACGATCAGTACAGTCAGGGGCATTTGATGCTAAAACGGCTTGCCATAGGCTAACGTCACGTTGCCTAATTATAATGTAGCCTATGAGATTGTATTGGGGAGAGAAGACTTCACTGTAGTAAGACTGGTATCTCCGCTAGTCGGATGGGGCGCACCGCAACTGTAGCCTATGTCGGATGCTTTATCAAAGGACACATACATAAATAAATAACATGACCATATCAGCAATAAATGCCACCGTGTGTACTGTAAACGAGTTTCGTTTTCATTTCGTTCGTTAAACGCAAAAGTATTGTAAATCATTGTATTGTTTGTAATATCCGTGCGCTCTTGGGATCACCTCCAGACATCAGTGCGAATACTAATAGTCAATCATTGTTTCATCAAAATGAAAGTGACGGTGGATTTTGAGGAATGCCTGAAAGATTCGCCACGTTTCCGGTGAGTCTGATGCGGATATAAATCCATACACACGTAAAAGATGCACAAAAGCTCTGTATCACTCTCTCCTTATGGATGCAACGGGCTGCGTCTCAAAAGCTAGTAAGCTGCCTAACTAGACAGTTCTGCTGGTCATCATATTATTATGAGCATGTGCCCATGCGGACTAGGTAGTCAGCTCACCAGCTTTCGAGACAGCTGTAGTCTCACCCATAGGTCTCACCTCACCTGCCGCATTATCAATGAAGAGATCCGAAAAGAGAACTGGGGGTGGGGGCTCTGTTTCTTAAGCGGGGAACTTGGCTAATTTGTGGCGGCTCTCTCAGTGCTTTATGTAGGCTAATTGTGTTACATTCTGCTATATGACATTCTGACATCTGTAACCTTGCGTGTTTGATAATGAATGCTATGATATAGGCTACACATCGGTTTAGAATTCTAAAAATAGTCGTGACATTAATGACACGTTTATGAATCTGAATATTGTGGTTGTGTGATGTCATTTCTGTGCATTCCCAACACGTGGATCTTTTTACCAGCAACAAGATCCGTACAAGGCCCAGTTCTAGTCCCTACAGATAAATACTGTTGATAAATATTTGAAAATGCAGTAAATGTGCATTAAATTAAAATTTAATGTAGCACTTAATTTTACAATTCTGTTGCCATGTATATTAAATGTAGCCTACTTATTACAGTTATCACAATAGCTATATGTACTAACCCTGAACCTCCTCTTAACCCATGTAGTTAGGTATATTGGTAACGCTTCCTTTTACAGTCCAGTTACCCATGCAAATACTATGTACTTATTTTAGTAACTACAATTACTGGGTAATAACTAGTACTAACCCTGAATCTACCCCTAAACCTACCCCTGTTCCATGTACTTACCTTATTTTAGCCAGTACTTTCTAGGTAAGTACATAAGTACACTGTAAGTACTGTAAAAGGAAGCGTTACCGGTATATTAAGTAGGCTAGGCTACACTGTAAGTACACTACTGACTACTGTAGCCTAAATAACCTTGTTGCAATGTGCAAATTGCCAGATCAACAGTATATTTTGCCAAAGTTATCCCAAGTGTTCTTCATGTGCAGTAACTTACAGTGTGGAAATGGAGACATCCAGTTAATTACTGGACTATCAATGCATATTTTCAAATCACTGGTAGTGTTGAATGAACTGTTGTTAATCATTTTAGATCATTTATTTTTACTGAAATATTCTAAAATATGTTCTTGGTTAATTTTAATTTTTCATTTGACCAATGAACATATTTCTGGCCAAATAGTTCTTGAACTTTTTTTCTAAATATACTCATAGACTCATATACTCATAGATGTTACAGTACATCGATCATACAGTAGTTCATATTTGACCAATTGATTTCTGTCCAAAGATTCATCGATCTTGAACTGTCTATACATGATCATATACTCCTTCTGATGTAACAACAGCCAGAAAGTAGTCAATATTTTACTTATTGAACATATTTACAATCGTATATACCTGTACTTCTTCTGATGTTACATCAGCAATATAGTAGTCTAAAGAAACCTATACTAAAAATCCATCTGTGCAATGTATTCTTAAAACAATTATTTATAAATAAGAATCATAATAATTGCAAACTATTAATTTTTAGCATCGCATAACAAGGACTTAAGTAATAAAAGTAATTTAGTATGAAAAGCACACACATAGTACATTAACATGCAAATAACATGCAAAGCTCAAACCCCTGGAAACAATATTCCAGTGGTCTCAAGACCTAGATCAAGATTCAATTCTGATTCACAGGCCTGTCAAATCAGACCTGACACACTGTACACCTCACCTAATACATTTTAGAACTGATCAATATCCCCTTATCAGTATTCAAAGCATGGATCCCTGGAAGGCCATTTGAAAGACATCGAGTGCAGTGCTGGGAGTACTCCAGGATCCGGGCTGGGAACCACTGTAGTAAAAGGCTTAAATGGAGTGGTTTTCAATCCTGGTCCTGGGGACCAACTGCTCGGCACATTTTGTATGTCTCCCTTATTTAATACACCTGTGGCCGAATTCACAAAACATCTTAAGGCTGAAAGTAGCTCCTAACTTGCAGTTTTACGAGAAACTCTTAAACATAATGGGCGTGTCAGTCCTACTTTTAGGACTCACATTTTTGCTCTAAGAGTATTTCACAAAACATTTTAGCACTAAAACCAGTTTTTAAAGGTGCCCTCTCTGGGATAAAAAAATCTAATCAAACACCATATTCCATACCAGATGGGGGTAGTATACCTCCAGAAAAATACCTCCGCGGCCGCGCGCACTCATGTCTTCAAACAACACGGGCGAGCGGGTCTCCCACGCGCATATTAGTCAGTAAAACTAATAGTAAAAGGTTGGAAGACCGCAGTTTCACGTGGATCATTTGGAGATTTTCAGAGATTAGAGACTAAATGAACAACATCTCAATACTAAATTATTAAGGCCGTCTCATAGACAAGCCGGTGCATTTCGACGATATGGGAAAATTAAAGCCCAGGCATTTTTAGTTTATGGTATTCGTTTTGCTCATGTTACATTTGTTATCATTTGTTTGAATTAATTTGACAGACAGCATTCCCTGATGTGGACCAAGCTAGCGCCTTTCAGAGCTGCCAACTCTCACAAATTCACCGTGAGACACACAACTTTTCACACACTCTCACGCCACATCCATTTTGTCATGCACAGAAAAGGACACAGAGACCGATCTCAGCTCTCAGATTCTGTTCATTTTATTACGCAATTCAAACAATAAATGCAGTTTTGGCGCTTGTAAATGTTAGACGACAGATCCCTAGCGCACGTGAACCGATCATCTCTACTAGCTAATGGTAAAAGAACACGAACACTGTTGAAAGATATGTTACAACTTACCAAAATGTATTCCTCATGCATAATATCGACCAATCATTTATTTAACCATCCCTGAACTGAAATTTAGTAGTGGGCTGTATTTCCACACGACATCACGACATGACATCAGGTTCAAGTTTGTTCAAGTACACACAAGCCGGCGCGACTTACTCGTGGTTACTGCAGTTTGGCTGGTGGTAACGTTGCCCGCCCGCATACCGCCTCCCATGGCCGAAACTGGTATTGCGACACCTGCCGGGCCGGGGCTAATAATTTAGCATGCTAATTTAGGTTATATTTTGTCAGTTTTTTAATGACATCATTGCACTTATTTCTTCTCATTCTTTTGATGTGTGTAGCTCATTTTTTTGATATTTTTACCTCAATTATTCCATATGGCACCTTTAAATCAGTGAAAAGTTAGGGTAGTCAAGAGGACTTGTAAGTCAAATCACAAACAAATCACAAATCTGCCTCAGCAATCTGCCCAAAGGCACTGTAAACCACTGAGGCAATAGATGATAGAGCCTTGGGTGCTGAGCCTTTTCCTCATAAATGCAATACATATTTTAATTGATAGATTTTAATCAGCAGTGAATTAACATAAAGGTTAATTTACAGTATATACAAGCAAAATGCATTGAATGATGGAGATTATAAAACATTGCGGTCAAGTTGAAAATAATGTCCCATCACCTGCTCTTATAGCCTTGTGGGCCGCTCGAGTGACCCGAGTTTAAGTTTTGGATTTATTGTAGTTTGTTTATCGACTATGCAGGACAACCAGCTAGTAATGTTTTACAGCAATCTAGTCTAGAGGTCATAAATGCATGAACTAACTTTTCTGCATCAGAAACAGAAACTTTCTAAAATAACACCCAGGTCTGGATGAAGTAATATAAATCCTTCTAGATGCAAATTCTATTCTAAGAGATTTTGTGTACAGCTTTTTGGTCCAGTAATTAATACCTCGGTCTGATCTGAATTTAATAGAAGAAAATTACAGGTCATCCAATCTTTATATCTTTAACACACTCTGTCAACTTGGATAATCTAGAGATTTCATCTGGTTGTGATGAAACATATAACTGAGTTTTATCAGTATAACAGAGGAAACTAATTCCAAGTTTGTTTTTTATAATATTACCAAGTGGTAGCATATATATTGAAAATAGCAGAGGGCCTAACACAGATCCTTGCGGCACTCCATAATTTACTGAAGTTACAGTATCTTAAATTTGTCCCCGTTCAAATCATCTGATAGGTAGGGTTAGGGTTAGGTTAGTTTTGGTTAATTTTGTAGTCGATCTAAGAGTATTTTATGATCTAAAACACAGCACTAAGATCAAGTAAAACTAGTAACAAGCGATCGATACAATTTTCTTGCAAAGAAAGAGCACAATTGAGCAGACAACTTTTTCTAATATTTTAGACATAAATGGAAGATTTGAATTTTTTGGTATGATGTTTTGCAGGGCCACAATAGAGGAAGTGGAGGGAGACTATGGAGAACTGGAGTCAAAACTCGACAAGGTATGGTTTTTATTACACCCTGTAAAGGCTTGGCATATGAAATAGGTAAAAAAAAAAATAGATAAAAAAATAAAACAGTTCATTGAACCTTTGCACAAAATATGAAAAATAAATATTTAAAAAGTTGCATTTGTTTGAGTATCATATTTGGATACATCAGGGCCCGTGTTCATTAAAGGTGCATTGCGCAACATTTCATGTTAAAAATAGCCGTTTTCTAACCCATACATGCTTAAACAATCGCCTGATGAGCTGAATGAGCCCTTCTTTGATCACTGCGATCACCTCTATAATCCTGTACAGTGAAATATATAAGGGATTCGGGCTCGAATCTGAGACTGGCCGTGACGTCATGCGCGTTCACGCTCGCCTGGCTATGTGCCTATGTCTTGCAGGTAGTGTATTCGCTGCCATTCTCCGTATCAGAGAAGGCAACTCGAGCGACACAACTCTAGTCAACTTTCCACAAAAGTAAACGATGGATTCAAAGAGGCTGTTTACACCTGGTCACTTCATGCGTTTTCTGTGATCGGCTAGCTATTCAATCGTGAAAAGACCAGATCTGTCTTGTCACACTGCAAAACTCTACATGCATGCGATGATATTCTCACATCTATCATATTGCATTACATCATGGTCATAAGCATCCCCATCCAAACTAAAACCTATTTTACAAACAGACAATAAAAATTATGGACCGGAAACCTATGAAGTGGCATCAATGTGATGTTTTAACAAAGCATCAGCTTATGGGCTTTGACAGTTTTATTGATTTTAATTATATCAAATTGGTCTATAAATGTTTAAATAATCATGTTTCACCAATGTTCTCTGAATTAGTAAGCAGACGGCAAAGTTCTCAGAGGGCGAACACAAGGGCCACTGTCAGAGGTGACTGTCTAGTTCCAAAGTGTAAAGGCCATTGCACACTGAGCACGAAATATTCGTATGCGTATTTTCGTGTTCGTCAGCTTAAAAATTCGTCACGCATAGAAACCTTGCACACCGAGTCCGTTGCGTATTTCTTAAACCTTTGCGGGAAAAAACGCAAAAATACCAAATGGATTCGTCAAGCAGTGAGGATGATTTTTGCCCTCTCTTATTGAAAAGGGAAGAAAGAGAAAATATTACGTCCATCCAATCCTGAAATTGCGCTGAGAGGAGAGTTCATTATCAAGGAGTTGCGAATTTATCCTGAGCGATTCAAAATTTACCTCAGAATGTCAGTGGGACAGTTCGATGCTTTGCTAGCGATTCAGGAGCCACATATTAAAAACAAGACCACCAATTTCCGTGAACCAATCGATTCTGAACGGAGACTGGCAGTGTGTCTGAAATGGACCAGGTATGGACACACACACACACACACACACACGGACAAACACACACCCGCGCCCGGCCCGTTGGAAGCGCTGGGCAGACAGAACAGCTAGGCTGTTATTGTGCCCAAATAATATTAGTTATCGAATAGGCTGCTCAATCACACCTTATTCGATCCTAAATTTCAATCTGATTGAAAGGGGAGGTTTATTAATTTCATAATCCAATATAGAGAAGAGAACATAAACACTTGATCGAATTGAAAACCGAAACTGAAAGCACGACGCATATGTGCAATGATTTGAGGACGAGCTCCCCCCGGCCCTGAATTGTCAAAAGACCTCTCAAAATGCTGGCTCTGGATGCGAAAAACGCAGAAAATCGAACCCGATCCGATTAATTTTATGACGGACGAAAGTTTCGGAGGCGGTGTGCAAGCGTGACTGACATAACGTGAGGTCGAATTTTTTTTTTAACGTGCGAAAATTTCGGATGCGAATTTCGGACTCGGTGTGCAAATGGCCTTAAGACCTCTTTTGGTCAGTCTGCTTTCTCTGTAAAGGGGCCAAAACTCTGGAATGCTTTGCCCACTAATTTAAAACTAGAGACAGGTGGAAAAGGACTGAAACAATGGCTGAAAACTAAACAACAGTGCTCACATGTATAGTCTATTACTAATACTTTCTGATTCTGATACTTGCTGTTTTTATTTTATTTACTTATTTTTTCTCCCTTGTAACTGTATTTTTATTTTTTATTTCAAAAGCCTCCCATGGACAGGTGTTGAAAATTAGCATGTATGCTATAATCACTAAAAACAAATGCATATGGCTCGTCCAATGTAATTGTATGTCCATGTCAAATAAAGATATAAATAAATAAATATGTACTAGCCCAGGTGGGTAGTGAAATATATGGCAGTCCCTGAGGTAGTCCCAATGCAAGGGGAGTGGGAGCGTACTCAACAGGCACGACAGAACAAGTCTGTCAAGGGGAAGACACGGCTGAACTGCATGTGGCATAATGGTCCACCGAAGAGACCACTGGACATAACATCCAGTCTACACAACAACTCCCTTAGAGGTAGTAGACCTGGCACCGGCGGTCCGCCACGCCTGGCACCGAAGGGGTGATGGAGGAAACTCACAAGGCTAACCAATGTAGGGTGCCAACGGAGCAAAAAAGACGCACGTATCGGCTGAGGCATGGAGTGGCGTAGCAAGCCGACACAACCTATTCCATCGCACCACTGGCCGTAGCGAGTACTCGGGAGGAAAACTGGTTCCACACGTAGCGAACGTGTTCGTGTCGCCCAGCCCGCAGCTCTACAANTGTCTCTTCGGCGGCACCGGCTGCTTCGAGCAGCGCCCAGATGATGATGCGATGTCTATCACAGCATCACTAGGCGGGCTTGATTCCTCGGGAGAGGAAGATCCGGCTGCGTTGCCTCCTTCGGGAGTCCAGCGTTGTCCGCGTCAGATCCCGAGATGACGGCCATGCTGTCTCGAGCCGCTGGGAGTATCGGGCTAGAATGGAAACCTCCATCCTGCCCCGACCTCTCGCGGATGGATAATTGGTTTTTGGACAAGGCTGCCGCTGCAAAGCCACGGCCGACTCCAATACCTTTTTCCCCGAGCTGCATGCGGAGTTATCGCGCTCTTGGGGGGCTCCTTTGTCCACTCGAGAGCGCGATCTCTCCCCCGCCTTTCCCCCCTCGACGGCGGGGCCGCCCGTGGGTTACACTGGGATGCCCCCGGTGGAGCGCTCTGTTGCGATGCAGCTGTGTCCACAGAGCGCTTCCACCCGTGGTCCTCCTAAGCACCCATCCAAAGCCTGTGGGTTCTCGTCTGCTATGGCGGCGCGATCCTACAGAGCGGCGGGACAGGCGGCCTCCGCTCTGCATGCTATGACCACTTTGCAGGTCTTCCAAGCGAAGTTGCTCAGAGACATGCACGAGGGCGGGACTGATCCGACGGCATTTAAAGAACTGCGGTCCGCCACTGACCTTGCTCTCCGGGCAACGAAAGTGGCTGCTCGCGCCGTTGGTCAGGTGATGGCCACTAGCGTGGTTTCAGGAGCGTCATCTGTGGCTCAACCTGGCGGATACGCGGAGCGCTGAGCGGACTCGTCTGCTCGACGCTCCGCTATCCCAGGTTGGCCTTTTCGCGGTGCGGTCGAGGACTTCGCCCAACAGTTCTCCACTGCCCAGAAGCAGACGGAGGCCATTAAACACATCCTGCCCCGACGACCAGCTGCTGCCTCCACCCAGTCGTCGGCACAGGTGCCTCCCCCTGCTCGCCGCCGAGGACGCCCCCCTGCGGCTCCCCTCCCTCCCGCCCGGCCCAGCAGCAGCCTTCACCCGGGCCCCGGCGTCGAGGAGGCCGCAGGCCGGCGTCACAGCCCCCTCAGGCCGCTCGCCCGCTAAACGCCAGGCCAAGCGAAGATCCTGACACGGGCAGCTCAGTGTCGATCTCGAGTCTTTCCCAGGAGGCGGTAGCAGGCCCCCTCCTTCCCCCGGTGGAGGGCCGGGGGAGAATCTTTTGTTCTCAGCTCCCCGCTGCTCACCCACGGGTGGGCAGCACCCTGAACTGGTTAAAGAAAGACTTGACATCCTCACTGAGCTCACAGACTGGAGTGAGTGCCCCCGATGCCCCAGTGTGTCGGCCCACTCACTCCTCTCTGTCTCGGAGGGCGCGGAAGGGTGCGTGTGTCGTCCCCGGGCTACACCAATCCCTTCCCCCTCTCTCGCCAGACCCCCGGCAGAACGGACCCCCGTGGAACGCTCCGCTTTCCCTGGTCCCTTCTGTCGGGGAGCGGGCTTCGACGCATCGAGCGGGGTCATCCCTGCACGCGTGCCAGTCGACCCGCCACGCTGCCCCTCCGGGGGGACGTCTGTGGTTCACATGACCCCGTTGGCTCACTTCCTGGAAGCCTGGCTAGCGCTTCCCGGGATATCCGCTGGGTCATCAGAACGATCAGATTCGGCTACGCGATTCAGTTCGCACGGTTCTCCTCCCCGCTTCAGGGGAGTTCGCTCCACGATAGTCGGTGGCAATGCCCCAGTCCTGAGAGCGGAGATTGCGACCCTGCTGGCGAAGGGTGCAATCGAGACGGTCCCTCCAGCCGAGGTGAGGTCCGGGTTTTACAGCCCCTACTTCATTTTCCCATAGAAGACCGGTGGGTTACGACCGATCCTGGACCTGCGCATTTTGAACCGTTCTCTCCATCGACTACCGTTCAAAATGCTCACGGCCAAACGCATTTTCGAATGTGTTCGGTATCAGGATTGGTTTGCAGCGATCGACCTGAAGGACGCGTACTTCCATGTGTCCATCTTACCTCGACACAGACCGTTTCTTCGGTTTGCCTTCGAGGGCCAGGCATATCAGTACGCCGTTTCTCCCATTCGGGTTAGCTCTGTCCCCTCGCGTCTTCACGAAGATCGTCGAGGCAGCCCTTGTTCCCCTTCGCGAACACGGGGTTCGCATCCTGAATTATCTCGACGACTGGCTGATACTAGCACACTCTCGAGCTCAGCTTTGCGAACACAGAGACTTGGTGCTCCGGCACCTAGCCCGTCTGGGCCTTCGGGTCAACCGAGAAAGAGCAAACTTTGCCCCGTGCAGAGGATCTCTTTTCTCGGCGTGGAGATAGACTCGGTCGCCATGTTCCGCGCAGCT